AAAAAAGCGACTTTACAGTCTGGAAATACTTTAGGCTATAGCAAATTATTTCTTGGACCCCCTATTACATTAAGAACCGCTGGTCTACACAGAAGAAAGACCTGTCTAGACTCTGCCCCGGTACGAGTTGTGTCGAGCTATTCATTAGTCTGTTTGATGAGAAAAATATGAAATTGATAAAATGGGTTATTAATCTGTACAACTGCAGCAGTGGAGGACTATTATTCTGCTGCGTGATACTGCAGAAGAACTGATGACGGCACAGTTTGATCCTCGGCTGACCAATCAGCAGAAAGGGGCGTTTAATTCCCGCCCACATGTAGAAATCAAATATTCAAGCTGTTTATTCATTTTTCCACCCATGAACGAAAAACGAAAATTTAAGCTGAATTTTCGTTTTTCGCTTTTTGGAAAAAAACGAAAAAGGAGCCGTTTTCACATTTTTCTACTTTCAATATTTAATAAAAAAAGGAATGATCGAATGATACACGGATTTTAGCGCTCCGCCGACTCGGATTGAAAAACGCGCCTGCGCTGAATAACGCAGACTAAAAGAGGAGGAACCCAAACTTGCGTCCATTTTAAAAGTTTTTAAAGGGAATAATGCGACCACGAATTTTTGTACAAATTACAGAGCTAATCAGAATTTTTAGGGGGGCTGAGAAGAACCTAGCCCCCCCCCCCCCTAAAAAGGGCTTAGCGACGCCCCTTCTAGGCCTACTTAAGCATTTAACTAATTATTTATCAGTGACTCATTATTTTTAACCGGTTCATTGAAATGAACTGTCCGAACGAGCCGATTTGTTTAAACGAACATGATTTCTCAGTGTTGTTCGTTATAGGCCTATTTATATGTGCAGGTGTTGTTGCCGTGGTTATAAGCATTTTCCTTTGAGTTCAAGAAATACAATGTGTAATAAGGAAAGCTGTTTTGGAAATCTGTCTATATGTGCTTTGGTGAAATGCCTCTATAATCTGGACTTCTCTGTGGCACTAAATGCACCTCTCATTATCATCCTTGATACATTGTGAGAATTTGGCCTACTACAAGGTTGAACTAGTAAATAAATGAGGTCTAAGACATATGAAATATTTTAGGTCTAAAACATACGATAATTTCATTTAGGCGCTTGAGGCTTCAAATGCAAATATATGCAAATTACATCAGTTTCATTGGCTGCGCTCGCCTAGAATTCGTTCCTAGTTTCCAGTCTTGTTCGTCCAAATTTTTTAACCATAAAAAAACAACAACATTATAGCCATAGGATGACATTTTGGTGACTATATATTTCACAGTTGCTATGAATGTCATTAAATAATGTAATGTTAATATACTAATCTATTTAAGATATTTTTTGAATATTCAATATACATATTTAGGCCTACTGTAGCGTTTGTCTGTTCTTTATAGTTTTTACATAGGTGTACAGTTTTGAAATTCTTGAGCTCATGGAAAGTTTGTAACTTGTAAAGTGTTCAAATATATACATATTTGTTGAATATGTTTTTATTTCACTATTTCTAGTTGTCTGCTAAATTCATTGACTGTATTTGTGTATGGTTTTAGCTGTAAAGTCATGGCTTCCTCCAGCGTTGTGTCGGAAAAAAGCCTCACATGTTCCATATGTCTGGACGTGTTCACTGACCCTGTAACCACTTCCTGTGGGCACAACTTCTGTATGGTCTGCATCAGAAGCCATAGAGACTGCAGTCCCTGCACAAGGTGCCCACTGTGTGGGAAGGCATTCGACTCAAAACAAGATTTGAACATAAACAGAACCATTAAAGAATTTGCAGAAGGCATCAAAAGGAAAAGAATCCAGGAGAAGGCTGAAGTGTCCTGTGATAGTTGCCCAGAGAAGAAAATGCAGACTGCTATTAAGTCATGCTTACACTGTGGAACCTCTTTCTGCGAGTCTCACTTGGAGCCCCATAAAACGGCAGAAAAACTCATGAAACACAAACTAATTAACCCTGTGAAGAATCTTGATGAATACATTTGCAAGAATCATGAAAGACCTCTGGATCTTTACTGTAAAGATGATCAGACAGCTATCTGTCAATTCTGCATCGAGAGTGACCACAGGAATCATAACACTGTTCTTCTGGAGACGGAGAGTTTGGTAATTATATCTAACATACTTAAGTCATTAATCTAGTCACTAATAGCAACTATGAAAATATACTGTGTACTTTCCAGCATTATAAACATTAACATCGTTTGTATGCTGATGCTATACTACAGCCTACTGTACATTTCTTTATTTCCACAGAAATTGCAGATGAATAAAAAGATTGCAGTGCAGCAGAAAATTCAGGAGAAGTTGCGGAAGAGTAAAGAAATTAAACATTCTGCAAGGGACATTGATTTTATTAATAGAATTTTATTTCTGAAGAAATAATTATGCAGGGATTTTATAGTGCTTGATTATTTAGTTTTATTTTGTATCGTGCTTTGACAATGTTGTGATGATTTTCCAGTTAATTATATTTTCTTCTTAAAACTCACAACAGCAAGCCAAAGAGAAGGAGATTGAAGAGAACATCAAGTTTTTTAAGGATGTCTTTGACAGAAGCAATGCGGTGCTACTTGAACTCACAGAGGAAAAGCATAAAGAAACTGAGAGACGAGGAAAAGAGCTCATCAGAGAGCTAGATGAAGAGATTGTGGAGCTAAAGAGAAGACAAACTGAACTGGAGCAACTCTCACATCCAATGGATTTTACACAAGTCTGTCTTTCTCACCAAACCATGGTAAGAAACAATGCCACTTGTACACTTGGCTTAAGGGCCTTTTCCCCTCTGCTGTAGATTATTAGCCTCTTGCGCAACCCCATATATACCAACATCTCAAAAAACATCAGCGTTCTTGAACATGGAGGTATTCTGAGGAAGACCATATCACATCTTCAGAGTGTGCTGGATGAGAAAATGAGAGAAACTGGTAAACGTTCACCATGTAACCAATCATATTTACACCATCATACACTCTTTAATCAGACAGAAACACATTTTTTCATTCTTGTTGTAGTTGGCAGAGAGCTGCGGAGTATACAACATTATGCAGGTATGGAAAATCTGACTACTAAAAGTTACATTTAGTACATAAAAAATTAACAGTTAAACTGTTACTGTTACTAAACTGTTACTAAACTTTTTGCTTAAGGGTAAAAAGACGTTTGAAATACATGGAGAAACAGCAGTTAAGAACCATTCTGATTATAATGACTTGCATATGTTTGCACCAGCTCTATAATTCAAAACTACAGTGAAGTCATGTCACATTTATTTATAGCCTAGCATTTTATACAATAGACTCTGTCAGTGTCACTTTCCATTAGAATTCCAACTTCAGTTTCTACAAAGCAGCTCTATAGTGTGTTTATATTTTTACTCATGAAGAAATGAACTGAAGGAGAATTCCACTTTTCCAGAATGTTCGCTTTGGCAGGCTGTTTCGAACTCCTGAAACAAATCACAAACTAACTTGGTTTTGGCTTGACGACATCACACCAGTTCTTTCTTTGATTTTGCTTGAATTATATGGGGCCTTAAACTTTACTATCAGAAAAGAAAATAATCCTTTATACTGATTTGTTGTGATGTAGCACCAAATAAAGTTTTCTCGAATAAAAGTGAAATACTGACTTGGCTAAAAGTTTACATGAACTTTTATATCATTTTTCAGTGGATGTGACACTTGACCCTGACACAGCTCATCCTGAACTCATGTTGTCTGACGATGGGAAAAAGGTCTGGAATACAGTCAAGTCACAGAAAATTCCTGACACCCCAAAAAGGTTTAATTATTGCTCATGTGTCTTAGGAAAGGAAGGGTTTTCCTCACAGAAATTTTACTATGAGGTTCAAGTCAGTGGGATGGAGTGGGATTTAGGTGTGGCAAAAGAATCCATAGACAGAAAAGGGGATATTGGGCTTAACCCTGAGAATGGATATTGGACTATATGGCTGAGGAACAGAGATGAGTATGCAGCGAATGTTCGCACCCCTGTCCCTCTCACCTTGAAAGAGAAGCCAGTGAAAGTGGGAGTATTTGTGGATTTTGAGGGGGGTTTGATCTCGTTTTATGATGTTGAAGCCAGGTATCATATCTATTTTTTCACTGGGCAGTCTTTTCCTGAAAATCTCTATCCATATTTCAGTCCTGGAGAATGTAAGAAAGGGCAAAACTCACATCCTCTGATCATTACACCTGTTGACTCAGTCGAATAAATCAACTTTTAAAGGAACGATTACTGTAAAATGAATTGTTATACAAAAGTCTTTGTATAGTCTTAACACTCTCAAACCTATTTGATGTTAATTGCAGATATGACCATACTTTATTTCTTCTCTAAATTGAACAATTAATGATAATTAATCAAAAGAATCAGTTCATTCTTTTAACAAATATTTCTTTCTAGTGTCTGTTACATTGTTTGAATTTGAATGTATTTGTTGGAAGCAGATAAGGATAAACATGATTATAAATGTGTGTATAACAGTGTAAGATTACAGATTTAAAACAAATAAATATGTGGTTAAAGCATTAGATTAATTTAGTTTCATTTATGTTGTTTATTTTCAATTGCAGTTTTTTTTTAATTTTCAGAAAGAGCTTTATTGTTCATTTTAATATCAGCATTCTTCAAGAACTTAATTTGTCTATCAATTTTTTTTTAATTATGTACAAAAATAGCATGGAAAATAAAAAGCTTTACTAACTCAAATCATTTGAGAAATATGTAAGTGAAAACTAAAAATGTGATAACAAGAAAATTCAAAGGAAATCAAAAGGAAATTCAAAATATTCAGTGATTCAGCAGAATCATCTTCTCTTTTGTGCAGTCAGTTTCTTATCAGTTATTTTGTCTGCAAGACTCAAGATGTTTGATCTCGATTTTAACATCTTCAATGTTTCATGGATTTTTGTCTTCTTCTTAAGAACTTTTTCCTTCTAGTACAACGCTTTAATTGTCTTTTTGAAATTGCAGTATACTCTGGTGTCACTATCTTGCTGAGATTTTCAAGCAGTTCTGGGGTGTTATTGTGGCCATTAGTGATGTCAATGACATGGTACCTGTTCTGACAGCTGCTGACCACTTTACAAAGTTTGCTGCCTTTGGAAATAAATGTGCTAACGGTTTGCCCAAGTTTTTTAAGCTCTCTGCCATTTGTGAAGATAATCATCATATGTTTTGTTGTTCCTGAATCTAGTCGTTTTCTGAAGGCATGGAAAAGACCTTGTTGTTGTTCACTAAATTTACATATTGGTGTGACCCAGAGAATCACATTGGGGCCAGGGTCACATAACTCAATGCATCTTTCCATTTCATGGCTCCAACTCAGTTCATCGAGGGAAAAGAGATTTGGAGTGTCCACTACAGTGATCTTTTCCACTGTCTTTGCCATGGATTCTTTGGTCACAGTCTCCGATCCACTTTCAGAATTAAAGTAATTTCCACCAAGGATGATGTTGCCTACTGTACTTTTCCCAGCTCTGGAAGGTCCTATTAGAAGGATCCTCATCGGATGTGGAACGCTGCCAGGGCTCAACACTGCTGTTTTGAACAACACATAAACATAAATTAAACACATTTTAAAGTGTATTTTTAGAGCCTTTTTTGTCTCTGAAATAGCAACATGTTGAAAAAGTTGGAGTTTGTGTATTTCACCTTTACCTTTTCTGTACATCAGCGAATAGGTTAAGGTTCATGAGTAAAACACATTTTTTTTATTCCCACAAAATTGCATTTGTTTAATTCAATATATATATATATATATAGAAGACTGTTTTCATATATATATATATATATATATATATATATATATATATATATATATATATATATATATGAAAACAGTCTTCTAAAATTTATGTAAATCATTGAATTAAACAAATGCAATTTTGTGGGAATAAAAAAAATGTGTTTTACTCATGAACCTTAACCTATTCTGTTAAATGAAACTGTTATTCAAATTTTGGCTAATTTCAGTATCAATATTTGTTATTTAACACGGGCCAACAGTGTTGACTTGAAAATTAAATGAACCCACCATTTCTTACTCCAAGACTCTTGGTTATTCCTTCAGTTGTGGCTGTTTTTTCTGACAGCTGTTCAAACAGATTCTTAAGTTGTAGCAAGAGATTTTCCTCACCACAATCTCCAGGGGCTTCATACCTAAAATAATCAGGGAAAACGAAAAATAAAAAGGTAGTCAAGAAAAAAGTTGAATGGCAGTAAGGAATTGTAGCATTAGTCTTAATTACAATAGTCATAAAAACGTTTTAAGGTTATTTATTCATTAGTTTTACCTCACCACTGCTTCTCTGAATTTTGGGGTCATGAATAGACATTGCAATACTGCATTTAAGTAGCAGGTGGCACCTTGATTTCTCAGGCCGTTATATTGGACTTCGTTCCTGAATACAGAAGTAACACATGCACGTAAGTCCATTAGTCCAAAGCATGCGCTCGACATTCCTCAAAGTGTCCTCAAATATATAGGCTAGGCAAGGTATTTCACATAAATCAACAGACAGCCTAATAAGCAGATCACATAATAAGCAGAAAGTAGCCTTGATCTTTCGACAGTTACTTTGAACACTGATTATCTATATGCTTTAAGAAGTCAACACACCTGTTGGGAGATTTAGGCCTACGTTTCTCGGCTGTGAGAGTTCCTGGATTCTTCATGCTGTAAGGAGCGGACAGCTGATTTGTATAGGAGGCTTTTTTAAACGTGTCTGTAAGGCAAACCGGTTTTGCACTTGTCTTTTGGTTGATATGTGTATGAATAAACACATTCTGAGACTAATTTTAAATGCATAATTTATAGGCTACTAAATTCAATTAAGCTTAGTGGAATTAGCGCGTTTATTACAAAGAAAAAAATCTAAAAGTGAATTAGCCTAAATTCCTTAAATATGAATTAAAAGACTAATATTCGAATATGCATAGAATATTTGAGCCCGGTCTCATGAAAATGCGTATAAATAGTACGCCAAATAAAAACGAAAACTCGTGGTATTTTGAGTATTTGGCGCCATATATGATACGAAATTTGTTGGCGTGCATACGCAAATTGACTTTGGCGTGCATATGATAAGCATGTGTTTGGCGTGCATATAATACGCAGTTTTCGCGTGCATATATGATACGAAATTTGTTGGCGTGCATACGCAGTTTTCGCGTCCATATGACACGCATCTACCCCACAACCCTAAACCTACCCATCGCGTAGCCTATACACGCCAAAGTCCATTTTTGCGTATCAATACCACGAGTTTTCGTTTTTATTTGGCGTACTATTTATACGCACTTTCATGAGATCGGGTTGAATATTTTGCATCAGAATTTACCTCAGCTGAAAGTCGTCCTTTCTGGTAGGCTACACGGAGGAAATTCGTAGAGGACAAAGCAGTCTATTGCCTATTAATTACCTCGGTTTCCAACTAATATATAAACACGCCCAACTTCGCCAGGCAACTGAAAAGTTATAGTTTTACTTTCGAATTCGCGTATTGAAATCGCGACGGAAACTGCCAAGTGGACAGAACTTAAATGCAAAGAATATTTAAAATTTATCATTTTACTTGTAGCCTAGGCTCTTTCACATTTTATTAGGAAATCATTCATAAACAGTTAATATTCATTTATTAATTGTACTTCAGTAATAAAATAGGCAACATTTGTCAAAGAAGTAACAATCATAAGTCATAATTCTTCAAATCAAAGACTAGCCTATTTATCGATACAATTCCCGAGAAGGGATTCAGAGTGCTCTGATTATCCCCGATGTGAGGTGACAGACATTTACAATAGCCCACAGTTCACACACTCATAATATCCTAATACAATAGCTAGCAACACATTGATTCATTAGTCAAGAAATGTAGAAGTGTCTCTGTGTTTAAAATGTTGTCTTGTCGACGAGATCTTAGGTGCGTGGACTTGATTCCGACAGGGACTCAAACTCTTAGCATGTCTGGAAACCTCCGGGTAGACGCAAGACCATGAAGAGAGTGGAGCGATCCTTAATTTGGTGGTCTAAAAACGTGTCATTGTCTTCTAGTTGTTTATCTGTGTACAGCAGCCTCAGGGACGATGGATCATCCCCTGTGGTAAGATATAAGGAAGGTTAAAACATTTGAAAAAACTCAAACAGTCAGTAAACATGTCAGTGCACATTTATCCTATTTTGAACAAGTGTATGAGGCTGTAGATTTCAAATTGTTAGAAAAATGAAAAGAAGAAAGAAACATATTCACTTATTTAATTTTCTCCACAGATGCTTAAAATTAGCCCTTTACTATTACTTTATTGTTTGCAACTCGTCTATTTTTAACGATGTGTAATTCACCACTGCTTACAAATGTGACCAGAAATAAAACAGCTAACAAGTAGCCTACTCTGTGTGTTTTTTTTTACTATAATTAAACGGGTTAACGGCCTATGTTTTTATATTTTCCGCATTTGATCTCACCTGCTTGTCCGGGCAATTTTTCTGCAACTTTCTTTTTGAATCCCAAAATAGTCATTTTGTTGAAATCTTCCTCTGATGTCGCAACATCAACAGTTTTCTTCTCCCCCTTTATTCCAACCACTATGATCTGGTAAACCTTTCCCATTTTAGGAGAACACCTCAACAAGTTAGGCTACTGCAAAACTCCGTATGTACCGTGGACGTTTCACTTTCTGTTCATATGCTTGCGAGGTGTTGACGCCCCATTTGATAAAAATATAGCCTATATTGGGCCATATTTCGCCTACATCTTTGCTCTTTAAATAATAATAATAATAGCCTAATAATAATAGTAATAAACCACACTATCTAGGCTACTTTTGTCGTTCAGATTTAGTCTATAATTAATTTATTCTGTATGTAGGCTACATACAGAATACATTTACATATTGGATCATAATATAGACTGCGTCAATTTGTAGCTGCCTTTGGAAATGAGGAAACACACCGGTAAATTACTCTTTTTGTATTAGGCTATAACTTGTGACAGGTATCTAACCTCAACCCGTCAGCCGAGAAGCCACGTGACAAACTGGAAAGAGAACAAAACACTGTCACCATAAAACCTACTAGGTTTCATTTCATTTCTAAACCGACTGCTGGAGCAACAATGACGGAACAACATCGGGAAGAAAAACGCTACGACCCCAAAGACAAAACACTGAAGTTTGTAACGCGCCAGGATGACATAAGTATGTATAGCCTACCACTATAAGATACACTCATGTCAACTCACGTTAGATGAAAATTACAGTCATTTCGGGGTGCCTTCTTATGTGTCATATTAGCACAAACCGAAAATAAGTGCGCTTTGTCTAGGTCAGGGATGGGCAACTTTGATAGTCCTCGGGCCAGCATTTTTTCTCCTTTATACCTTTGATACTAATCCACATCCACACACCTTTTACACCGTCTTGCTCACTTTCCTTTTTATTGAAGGAAATTAAAGTATAATTAATGTAATTAGTTTTTAAAGATTTTATTTTAAGTGCAGTTAAGCTAATTCAGAAGGGAAACTTTGTTGTCAGTTGACAGCAATATTACCAACAAGCCAATGTAAACATCTCAGTTGCATTGTCTGTAAATTTGCAACAAACAAATGTACAGAGACCCTATTTTTTATTAGTGGCCTACAGAACATTCTCAAAACAACATAAGAGGACAGTTAAAAAGGGCTTAGTCAAAAAGTTATTCAAAATGGTATCTGCAGGATTAAAAAAAAAAAATCTAATTCAAATTTAAGAGCTTTAAAGACCTTTTAAGACCTGCACTTGACATTTCAGGCTTTAAACAATTTTTAAGAAAAGGGACAAGGCAAAAGTTTCAATTATTATATTAATTGAAACAATTATTATCAGTCAATGATTATATTAAATAACATAAATATATCTTAGTGTCTTAATTATTATTATTATTAAATTATTATTTTTAATTGTTTAGATTTTTATAATGCATTAGCTTTTTGTCGATCCACTGGTTCACATTTAAAAATATGTAGCAAAAATAGCAGAAGGGCTTATTGAAAAAGCAAATTCGTTCTCTGCCAGCAGGTGTCACTTTCGGAACGGCAGAATCTATAGCCGCTTTTCCGCTATCGGCCGAACGGTTCTAAGAACTGTCAGGTACGGTTCCAGTTGTATTTCCACGTGAGCCTGGTACGGCGCGGCACGATTACAATCCGTTCTCGGGCCGGAATTCTCGGCAAGGTTAGACAACCGTGCTGAGCCGTGCCGGTAGAGTGTGTGTGCGTGATGTCTTGCCTGGCTACCAGTTTGTCCACAGCTGGCTAAGCAGACGCACACTATTTGATCAAACAGCAGCGTAAACAGCTAGGCTACATTCAATATAAAAACAAAAAAATGTCTGAGACAGTTTGGTCTGTGGAGGAAACATTTGCGCTTATTGATATTATACCCGTCGTCGCCTTCTGTTTATTTTGTTTTTCACGTCAAGAGTTGTGTCCTTTTTTCTGTTATTGAACGAAGTAAATATCAGATAAAAAAGGAGTCCCAAAAACAGAAATATCTGATCATCTTCCATATCGTTGTTTATATAACACTTGCGTTTCCAAGGCAACGACTGAGCATTTGTATTGCATTCGACCTGGCAACCTCCCGCTCTCTCTCGTGAAGCCAACACGGAAGTGACTTAAACTGTAATTCATCGACTGGCCGCTAGAGGCTGGCTGCAAAAGGGAGTCAATCCCATAGACTCCCCATGTTAAAATGCCCAAATTTACAGCAGAAAAAAACGTTTACAGCCTGGTTCAAAAAATGATTTTGGTATAGCTAATTTTGCCCTTCATGACAACTGTGAGGGGGGAGAATTTTTTTATAACTCATCCGTTTAAATTATATTAAGCCTTAAAGTTCTGCATAATTAAGGGCGTGGCCACTTGAGTGACAGGTGGATTGCCGCTGCTGTCACCACCGTCGAGCTAGGTGGGCGTGGTTTCAGCAGCCAGCTCCCGCCTCTTTGCCCATTTTCGATTATCCGGGAGTGACGCGCTGCCAAGATGGCGACTGCGGGCTCCGCCTACTTTAGGCTTCAAAACGCTCTTCGGAAGTCTACGGGTGACGACACTACGTCCATGTTTTTATACAGTCTATGATTGCATTCCAAAGAGCTCCGTTCAGCACCACAGTGGAAAATGAAACCGTAGCCGTGCTGACTGGCCCGTTGTTCTGACGATTTGTGCTACCCTGTCAGATTTTGCTATCTCCCTTTAAAACAGATGGCAAGGTAGCAGATTTTGCTTCCAGCATGATATTAATAAGGTGTGAGGCTTTAATTAACATGTACACCTACCCCAACCCTAAACCTAAGCAGACGCACACTATTTGATCAAACAGCAGCGTAAACAGCTAGGCTACATTCAATATAAAAACAAAAAAATGTCTGAGACAGTTTGGTCTGTGGAGGAAACATTTGCGCTTATTGATATTATACCCGTCGTCGCCTTCTGTTTATTTTGTTTTTCACGTCAAGAGTTGTGTCCTTTTTTCTGTTATTGAACGAAGTAAATATCAGATAAAAAAGGAGTCCCAAAAACAGAAATATCTGATCATCTTCCATATCGTTGTTTATATAACACTTGCGTTTCCAAGGCAACGACTGAGCATTTGTATTGCATTCGACCTGGCAACCTCCCGCTCTCTCTCGTGAAGCCAACACGGAAGTGACTTAAACTGTAATTCATCGACTGGCCGCTAGAGGCTGGCTGCAAAAGGGAGTCAATCCCATAGACTCCCCATGTTAAAATGCCCAAATTTACAGCAGAAAAAAACGTTTACAGCCTGGTTCAAAAAATGATTTTGGTATAGCTAATTTTGCCCTTCATGACAACTGTGAGGGGGGAGAATTTTTTTATAACTCATCCGTTTAAATTATATTAAGCCTTAAAGTTCTGCATAATTAAGGGCGTGGCCACTTGAGTGACAGGTGGATTGCCGCTGCTGTCACCACCGTCGAGCTAGGTGGGCGTGGTTTCAGCAGCCAGCTCCCGCCTCTTTGCCCATTTTCGATTATCCGGGAGTGACGCGCTGCCAAGATGGCGACTGCGGGCTCCGCCTACTTTAGGCTTCAAAACGCTCTTCGGAAGTCTACGGGTGACGACACTACGTCCATGTTTTTATACAGTCTATGATTGCATTCCAAAGAGCTCCGTTCAGCACCACAGTGGAAAATGAAACCGTAGCCGTGCTGACTGGCCCGTTGTTCTGACGATTTGTGCTACCCTGTCAGATTTTGCTATCTCCCTTTAAAACAGATGGTAAGGTAGCAGATTTTGCTTCCAGCATGATATTAATAAGGTGTGAGGCTTTAATTAACATGTACACCTACCCCAACCCTAAACCTACAGTAGGATAAATACAATGTTGGAAGCATAATCTGATAGGTAGCATTATTTGTCAGAACACCGGATCGGCACAGAATGGAACGGTTTAGCA